AGTTACGAGAGTTTTACCTATCACTATGTTATGACTAATCTTATGTGAGATACAATAAAAAGAAAAAAGGAGATAGAGACAGATTATGATTTTTGTCATATGTTATTGGACATCTCAAAAGCAGAACATCTCAAAGTTCTTTGATTTTCTAAGATTTCGTTTTACTTTATTTTACTCGTGAGGATGTGGATGTCTCCTGTCAACAACCGCAACCATACGTCCGTCACAGCTATACCTTCAGATCACCCATACCCATCCCTATTTATCAAAAATCATGAAAGGCTTCAAGTAACATCTGCTTTATATTTTTAAGTACCAAAACTTTTTGTAGATTCGGAAAAGAATACTCTTGTCCATTGATTTAACACTGGATATAAGTAAAACATTCATTATCGTTAAAGTCTCTTTAGTTGCTCGTCAGATTGTAATTGTATTCTTCGTTCAGCTTCTTGCTTGATCATTGTTTGTTGAATATGCATCGGTAGACCAGGATTGAGACTCAAAGCGTAGGGCAATAATGTTTTCTGTATTTCTCCAAAATCAACCAGAATTTTGATGAACATTGTGTCATCTCTTACATACGGACTTCCTTCCTGTTGAATCATTTCCAATGGAATAAATTTTGGTATACCACTCGCTATATTCATATCCAGTCGAGGTCGTTGGAAACTACTTGATTTAATATCTGGTCGAAATGAATCAATAATATGTCGTTGTGAAGACGTTTGATCGTACAAGCAGAATGAGACTTTATAGTTGAATGGGAATTTTAGAATTGGATCATTCAAACTTCTCATCAGTACAAAAAAAAGCGACATATGTGTACGACGAGCATTTCCATCACCATTTAAATAAAGACGAGCTCTCATTTTATAACCATTTGGAGATGAATAAAATGGAGGTGAATAAATTGATGTTTGTCTTTCAGATTGTGCATCGACTAGAAATCAAACGAAAACGCTTTTCAGCACAGTCCCTTTGAAGCTAAAATGTGGAGCTCACATGTCTTTTTCAGTTTCGTTATACTAATGCAAACACTCTAACTTAAAATGTGTTGCATTTATGTGTCGTGCATCTCAGCATAAAAATGTGTCGCGCTTAGAATGTATCGTATACAATTTTGTCGCATTCTATTTGTTCACTATTCATTCACCGTTTTTGTTATGTATGCACAGCCATATATAAGCAACTCGGTTGAACGTAAGGAAGATAAATATTTTCACAATAATTTTTTTCTAGACTATTTCTCGACATTTTATTGGTCGAGAAAATGCCATCTCGATCAATATTCGAGAGAGGACTACCTTGAACCGGCCTGACGGAGATCGGACCAACTCGAGGCTGGTCAGATCTCAAGATCTAACCTGCTTGAGTTTTCAAAATAGGAATAATTATAATGGAATTAAATTAAAAAAAATTCATAATATGCTTTTTCAGAAGAACCAATAAAAAATGTGTCGTAAATCACGACACATTTTAACTTAGTGTGAAATCTGTTAAGTAAACAATGCCTAGCAAACCATAGTAATTATCTAAGGATAATTGATTACCGTTTATTTCTGGATTTCGAAGAAATTTTTCTTACTTGTGTTCTCTTTTAAATTTATCTCATTTTGATTCGATTCTTATTTATTTTCTTTTTTTTTTCAATTACTATTATAATAATTATTCTACTTATTCATTGAGATGATAATAAACCTGCTGTATACATCTATTATATCTACAACATGTCTCAACATGTTATTCGGCTTGTCCATGTAACGCAACACTTCGCTGAACAAGTTTCGATAAAATTTTTTTTCGAATTGGATAGATTTGAATGAGTTAATAGATGCAGTTTTTAACGCTGATTACGAATTTGACACTTATTTTGTACAAAAATTAGATTTTGGCATTGAAAACTGGGTTATAAACTTTTCAAAAATCGTATTTTGGACTTTCTGATCAAGAAATTTTTCCAAAAAAAGTCGACGGACATATCATTCGATGCAAAATTTCATTCTCTATAAGATGACCTATTTAGTTTCGACTTTCGTGGCTAAGGACAATTTTTAGACTCTTATACAGTTTCCAACTTACTGCGCTTCGTGTAAGTTTCCATGTCGATGTATCGATCTCGTTCTTGCGTAAAACGATTAGTTATGAAGAAAAGATTAACACTTATAAAAATCAAATCGCTATGACCATGTTCAGTGCCTCAAAATTGGTCGACAAAAAAACTGTGTCACAGCGTTATGTTTTGTTTTTGCATTTTTTATCTAACACATTGGGCACGATTCAGTTTTCGTATGAAATTTCTGCAAGATGTCATTTTTATGAATAGTTCACTTCTAATAAATGCACTTAATGACCCTTTCGTTATCTTCTACTGATTATTTATCGTTCTCTTTCTTGTATTACTACATAATGAATCATTTTTCGCGAGTAACTAGAATTGCCTGAGTCAATTTTTCGTTCTTTTTCATGTTATATATAACATATGTGAGAAGAAGGAGGAAAATTCCAGGCTTTTCTCTGTTATTCTTATCCATGTGTTGTTTTACTATATAAAGACGAGTGAATTTTTGGAATAGTACACATGTCGTTCGAAGAAACCGATTCAGAAGAAAGCGTTAGCTCACGAAGTGAAGTGAGTTCTTTGGATGATGATTTCGATAGAATACATCTTGAATCTGAAAGCTCCGCCGAAGAAGTGACAAATGACGAGGTCGATTCAAACGTCTGGAATGAAATAAAACCAGAATCGGATGATGAATTTATGGAAGATCATGGTCTCGTCGAAGAAGTAACTTCGACTTCAGGAGACAATACAATCGACCCTATCGATTGCTATCGGCATTTCATTACGGACGAAATTATTGACCTTATGGTTCGTGAAACTAATCGCTATGCGGAACAATATTTGCAAACTCATGAGATTAGCAGACGGTCAAAATTTCGTCAATGGAAACCAACCACCGATGAAGAGATGCTGAAGTTCTTTGGAATCATTATCGAGATGGAATTGGTACAAATGCCGAAACTGAAATACTACTGGAGCAGTAGTCAATTGTACGGATCAGAGATCATACGAAATGCCATGTCGAGAGAGAGGTTTGAATTACTCCTCAAATTTTGGCATTTTACAAACAACAATAATAAGAATTCGGACCACGACAGGCTGTTCAAGTTGAAACCACTCTCAGATTTACTCAAAGAGAGGTTTTCATCAGTATATATGCCTGGCTCAGTTATTAGCATCGACGAAAGTATGGTACCATGGCGAGGCAGACTTTTGTTCAAACAATACATCCCTGGAAAAGCACACAAGTACGGCGTAAAGATATACAAGCTAGCGGCTACCAATGGATACACCTGGAATTATGTGATCTATACTGGTCAGCAAGATCCTATGGCAGGTCGTGGACATGCTGAAGCAGTCGTAATGAATCTATTGAATGGTCTTTCGGGATGTTATCGAACCGTGGTGGCTGACAACTTCTTTACTAGTATTTCTCTAGCAAAACGTTTGTTGGAACAGGATACGTATCTTATTGGAACATTGAGAAGTAATCGTACTGGATCAGGATATGAAGTTGTTCAGAAAAAGCTCAAGCCTGGTGAGGTTTATGGGCTCCAGAACAAAATCGGTGTAAAATTGATCAAGTGGAAAGATAAAAGAGACGTTCTGATGATATCTACTAAACCATTTCATTCAGCAACTGTGGTGAACACCGGAAAAATCAATAAACTGAATGAACGCATCATGAAGCCGCAAGTTGTTCTCGATTACAATGAAGGCAGACAAGGTACTGATTTATCAGATCAACTATCAACATACCACACATGCCTGAGACGGTCAATAAAATGGTATAAAAAGGTGACATTTGAATTGGCATTTGGAACTGCAGTGGTTAATAGTTATCTGATTTACAAGGAAAATTATGCGGCGAGCAACATACAGATTTTACAGTTTCGAGAAAGTCTTGTACGATCTTTACTCCTTGGTGCGCCAATCGAGAAGCTAAAACCTGGTCTGATACAACAATCAGCAAGTCATTCCAAGCGCAAACTCGCTGATCACAAGCTCGAAGAAAAGGAAGGATCTACGCGCAATGTTGGCAGACGATGTACTAGCTGCTATGCGAAGGGAAAGGCACAACAGTCAAGAGAAGCAAGCTATGCGGCAGCAGAGAAAGTGAAAACTTTTTGTTCTGACTGTGATAAGTTTTTTTGTCTAGAGTGTTTTAATGACAAGCATTATCCTATGGAATAAAGGACGCAAATAAAGCACTGAACACAGAACAACTGACACTTCATGTTTATAACCTCGTGCCTAAGAAAAAATCAAAAGAAAGTGTTCTTCTATACAGTTACTCGTAAAACCATAGCGTGGCCCACCGGTGGGCCACATCGTGCCCAATGTGTTAAATGAAAAAACCAATCTACATTCAAATTGAACATAATGAAAAAGTAATACGTAGAAAAGTTCAATTTGGATTAAATCTATATGAAATATATCAAGCATGGGATGTATCCACTGCAGCTTGTAAATTTTGCATAGTTAAAGGTGTTTTTGGTTTCATCCTATCCGAGTTGATATTTGTAAAACTACCACTAATGTTGGAAGAGCCATCAGACGCTAATTTATTGTCTAGGAGTTGAACGACAACAATTGCGATCAAGCCAAGCACTATGCCGACAATAAGCCCACCGATAATAGCACCGACTTGAGCTGCTGACGTGTATTTTTCTTGCTTAATTCGTTGGCCATTGGTATGAGAATTATTGACATTAGGAGCTTGGCAAATGGAAACATTGGTCTTAGAAACGTTGCAAGTTGAAACATTGGCATAAACCGTACTAGCATGAATCGACATAAATTGTTTGGAAACTGTGAGAGAATTGGGCTGTGCACTAAATACTACTTGTGATTTGTCATAGTCTAGCAGTGTCATATTAAACGTGAATTGACCTGTATTGATTGCCGCCTCCAGACGTTGTCGACATGTTTCGGTCGATGGTTCGTTGTTGTTGGATAAGAGCACTGGGCCAAGGAGAGTGAATAAAACATAGACACTATTGTCAAATCGAATGTGATCGAGTTCAATGTTGCTAATGTGCTTCATGGTAACCTTCATGCCATTCGCCAGAGCAAATGCCACATTTCTTTCGAGAGCACGTCTGTCCAAATGATTGCCATCTACTAAACTATCATTGCTTGGCTTGAGTACGAAGCCAAGATGAAGATAATCCAGGTTGAGTGAGCGATAACATACACTTGTATCGAAATCAGATGGTTTCAAGTCATGTGACATTTCATAAAATTCATATTCAATATCTTCTGTAAGAATATTCAATGGTGATGGATTATTTGAATCTCGAAATCGATACATTTTTAAATATAAGCTTACAGGATAATCAAATTGTTTAGGTTGATCGCTTGGCGGACGAGCATATGGTGCACGCACGGACCAACCATATTCAATATTGGTTGCTTGCCATGTTTCACCTGTCGACGCACCAGTATCTAAATCAACCATAGGAGGAAAGTTATCTACTGATGTTGTTAATATTGTACATTTAATAGTATTGCCACGACATGCTGAAATGATGAAACGAAAAAAAGAAATAAAAAAGAGAAACTTTTAAAAAAATCTTCAGTATTTTTTTTCTTACATCGAAATCCATTAAATTCCCATGCATTTTCAGGTGGATTAAATATAAAATGAGCTTCATGCTTAACAAAAAATCGTATTGGATCATAAATAAAATTAACATCTGGTATGTATACACCTGCATTGATTTTACAGCTACCAATACGTTGATCAATAATATAGGTTAAATTATCAGAATAATCATGAATGATCGATTGAAAATCTTCAGAACCAGGTGGCATAAAATCATAACGTAAACGTCTTGAACCACCATCACGACCTTGATCATAACGTAAATGGAATCGTTGCCAACGTGAAGAACGTGATGTTGAAGTGTCAACACGAACAGAAAAACGATTTGGCCAACTAACACCAACATCTTTAAGTGATACTAAAGTTTGACCTGGACCACTAGCACAAAAAACACCTTTTGGTGGTGCTAATGCATCTGTTGTTTCTATAATACCTGGTCGAAATGAAAGAACATTGAATACTTCATCGACTTCAAATGCTTGTGTGCCATTTGGAAAGACAACTGAAGCACTAACTAATGCTTGAACAGGAATGGCATAATTTTCTATTGTACTACCCGGCATAACAACACCTTGTTGAGCGAATGCCCATATGCGTCGTGTTGTTTGATAGGTTTCTTTGTTGATATAACAAGTTTGCCACTTATCTACTGGAATTCCACGTACTATATCTTGACCAAGATATATGGGTCTAACTATTGGTCGACTTGGATTCTCATTTGAAAATAACATAAATTCATTCATTGGACGAATATGCCATGTGCCATTTGGTAATTGTATTGCTGATGCACTATCTAATAAATAAGAAAAAAAATGCTTTAGAAAAATCGTTAAAGTCCTAATAAAAATATACCCATATTGTTTTCTTTTGGAATATCAGTCACAACACAAAATTCTCCTTTATAATAAGTTGACTTCTTAAGTATATCATAGTAATAATATTCAACATTAATAAAACCCTTGTTATTCTTAACCACAATTAATTTATTAGCATCATAATCATAAATCTGTTGATACATAGTTATTTCGGTCGGCAAGCTTACATTTAATATATGCTTAATTTCGACACGCTCTAAGGCAAATTCAGCTTTGTTTGAAAATTTAGGTAGTGGTGGTCCAGGTATTGTCGAAGGTGTAGCTGATGGATTAACTGTGCATAACTTTGGGTCACCATTCCATTCGACAGGAGATATTGTCGTCAGATTTTGCGCATGATATTTAGAGATAAATAATAGTAGGAGAAAAACGAACCCATATTGTTGTCGCATTGTTATTTTAGTAAATGAATAAATGAAAATGATATGAAAGTGTTACTTGTATGGCTGTAAAATTTTAATAAAAATGATAAGATAAGAGAATTTTTAGATACACAACAAAGAAGGGATAGGCTGCTACATAATTTTGTGTTGTTGTTTAAAGACAAAATAAAATAAATATTACTTGAGAATTCAAATGTTTTAAATAATATTTGAATTTAAAAATTAGTTTTTATTCAGATCTAAGATTATTTCATCCTACTTTACGGTAACTTGCATTATCAAATTAGAAGAAAAAGAAACTAAACAAAAAATCTTTTTGTTTTATTGTGGGTGTGGATGTAGAGTGTGTATATATGGATGTGAAGATGAATTATTACAAGTGTTGACAGACTATACTCACATCCACATCTACACCCACCTGCACCCATTCACATCTGTACTTAATATAATATCCGTTAGATACGAAAGCAGCTTGTATATCGAAAGAAAATATCTAATAAATCTTTTTTTTTTATTGTAACTGATACATTTTTGGTATTATGAATATGTTTATGATTAATCGTTCTGATAAATTATAATTACTAAAAATAACTGAACAAAGCCGTGGGTTAACCATAGTTGACTGTATGTTGGCCGTTGATTAACCGTAGTTGGTCGTCAGTCAATCGCGGTCTAACATCGGCTAACCACGATTACCTGGTGATATTGATTAAAGCCACTGGTTACCGGCGGTTTTCATGAAAAAAAAGACGACATGAATTACATATATATCACTTTTTGGATGAATGAATATCTGATCCCTTTATTGAAGAAAACAGCAAGTATATATACATAGGAGAGAGACAATAGACGGACTAGAGAAGAAGTCGAGAAGCTTCACCCGTCTGTTTAGAAAATGAACAATAGAAAGAATAAAGACAATGGTTCTTGTTACTCAACAAAGACGTCAGTTAGGAAAAGTAGATAAGACGAAAAAGGTCATACGTGCAACCGCTGAACAGAAAAAGAAAAGAACAAGAACATATGTATAGTAGTTGGATAGAAAAGAAGAGAAGTGAAGCACTATGTAACAACATGGGAGACCTTTTGACCACTATAGTGTCATGCAGGAAGTATAAATTTTTGCATCCGAATCCGGGTCGGCACTTTTTTTTATATCCCGACTCGACCCCCATACACTTAGACACGGGTAGCTGTACTCAGTACCATAATGAAAAAGTGTATTGTTTGATTTCTCTCATAAATAGCAACAAGAAAAAAAGATCATCTCGAATTTCACAAAAAGGCGAATGAATAAAGTGATTTAGGATTCACTTGATGTCTTCTGTTTCTAAGGTCCAATCAATTCCGCTAAGTATATATTAGCTTGTTGGTGACGAAGATGGAATGGAACGTAGTGTGAAGGCTAAACATCGTACTTGCGTATATCTACATGAATGCTTTTCTCAACACGAGAATATATATTCACGTTTTTGACAGTTCATTTTCTTCTTCATTTATTCCATTATTTTATCATATGATTACTCCGCATCTGCAGATGAATTTTCATTGTACTCGAATTCTTTTAGTACAAGAATATTGTTTTCGACTTCAATGATCTATTCTCAAGTACAACAAGTTGCTCGATCATGACCAAATCAGTTTTCATTCATATGCCTTCATATAAATATCGGTGAGTCATCATGGTTGCAACATCTAGTATTTTTCAAATATCGCAATTTAGAGAATAATGAGTATAAAACTGCTGCGAAGAACATAATAGATTTTAAACAAAAATCATAAGTTTTATTCGAGCTTTCGATAAGAAACTCTTATCATCATCAGGAATATAGAAAAATGAGATAACACTCTGTATAAATATTATAATACTAATTAGAAGGAACAAAAGAAAAAGATGAAACGATATTAATAATTCGAATTATTAATATTGTTCGTAGAACTTGTCGTGGTCACCAAAATGGCCCGAAGGCATAAATTATAAGAATATATTTAGTTTAAATTTTACGACATTTAAAGCTTTATCTTTCATTTGATGTGTAAAGAGACTTTCTTTAATAATTCTTCGTCTCCAATTTGTTTCTAAACCTAATATTTCAGACTGTATAAAATTGGGTGGGGTGTGGGTGTGGGTGCGGGTGTGGGTGTGGGTGTGGGTGTGAGTGTGGGTGCGGGTGTGGGTATGGGTGCGGGTGTGGGTGGGGGTGGGGTGGGGGTGGGGTGTGGGCGGGGTGTGGGTGTGGGTGTGGGTATGGGTGTGGGCATGGATCTTCTTTCAGAAGATATCCACACCCAAGTTTAAGGCCCCCTCCCCCTCAAAATTCTATCTCAGGCTCTAGTAGGATGAAATCATGTGAAATTTTCAGCATATGTTGGGGCTGTAATGAGGATGCTATGGTAAAGTTTTCAGTTCTATACCATGTAGTTTGAGGGAGATATACACCAAACAAGGGTCAAAAGATAGCTCATTTTGTCCGCAAGAATTCTCTGTGGATCCTCACTCAACATATATAATTTTTTTTTGTTTGAAAGAGCATGTCAGAATGCCGGGTCCGTGAGGCCCGTTCTTTTTAAATTCTTATCTTTTAAGCGGAGAACAGGGGTGACAAGTTCAATCACTCGAAAAACTCTCAAAAAATGGCGCTCAAATTATGGGTGACTTACGTTTCGTCTCACTTCTTACGAACACCGGTAAATGTTACCGGGTGTTCGGAGATGATTTTTTTTCGTAGAAATTTATGACGGTAGTTCGTCAACACCTATGTACCGGAGGTCGTAAGAGACAGCAGGAAGATCGTAATGTGTTTACCGGGCGTTCGGAATAGAGTATTTTTTGCTGTATTTTATGTAATACCTGAAGATCGGAATGAGCACGGTCGGATGTTCGGAAAGTAATTCTCAGAGGACTTTAACATGGAGTTCGTAAAAGAATTTATCAGAAAATTGTAAGTGATATAAAGACTTTCTGTTTTTATAGACAATAATAGATCGCATTTTTGATTACTTTCATAATTATATGAGTAGGAGATTATTCTTTCTCTACCTATACTCTCTATGCTCTAGTTTTAGAAGTTGTTTCTAATATTCGTCTTTTAATCTATTCATGATACCAAGATGTGTCAACAGTCCAGGTGAAAATAAAATATAATATAAAGTAAAAAAGGACAGTGTCTACTTTCAAATATGATTGGCTACACAAGTAAATGGCCAGTAAAGATAAATCAGACTGAGCCTTCATAGAGAAGTGAAAAGTATACATTTGGAAAATATACTATGATAAAGAAGTGGGTTGGGTTTCTTTTATTGCTTATTTCTAGAAAATGATTCAAATGAATAGAATCTTTTTTCTTGTTGGAGTCTAACTTTACTTCATCGTCCTCTTCCACGTCATCTTCTCAACAATGTCTCACTGCTACAACATCGAAGAATAAACAAATAGCTAGAGTCAAGAAGCGTAGACATCCATCAAAGCATGAATGGAGCGATGATGTACATTAACACTAGAGTTATGAATAAACATGTATATCTTTTTTTTCAATAAAACTGATATTTGTAATAGAGTGTATTGAAGGAATTAGGAGAATAGTAACTAACACTAGAATTATAATAGTGAACAGAAGCACAAGCTTGATTGCTTGAATTCATCGAAGCGTTCTCTATACATGATTTTAGGTTGCGAGACTAGCATATCACTTCATATTCTCTCACACGTGAACAAAACTTAACATACTTACGACAATTGTGTCGTTTTTTTTTATTACGACCCTCATGTCTTCGTCGTTACGAACATCCGGACATTCGGATTCCGATCTTCAGCCAAATTTTGATGTTCGTAAAGAGAAAAATTTATATGGAGTTCGGAATCAATTCTGAAAATAGCTTTTTCAATGGTTATAATCGTTGAAAAAGCTATTGTAAAAATTGATTCCGAACTCCTGCACAGGCTTCATTCCGAACACCCTGTATTTTTGTTGTATTTCATTTACGAACTCCATTCCGAACACCATGACATTTTCTTCAAGTCCGGGGATTGTAAGCACACTAATTTACCAGGAGGTCGTAAAAATGGGGTGAGACGAGATGTCATTTTCCCCAAATTATAAAAGTGCTTTTCAATATAATAATAACAATGTTTCATTCAAAAAATGGAACCTCAGAGGACCTGCAGTTTTTGACGCTCTTGCAAACAAAAAAATTAAATACATTGTATGAGTAACAACAGAGAAATTTGGTTTGCGTGATTAAGAAGTCATAAATGGAGAAAAAACGAAAAAGATTTTCTGTTTTTTTCGAAAAATGGCTTATTTTTCGAATAGGGGATGCCAGAAATCTTCAAAACTTTTTGGAAAAAAAGGGATGGTGAGTAATAATTTTTATCGTTTATGAAAGATTAGATGACGGGCTACCTTCCTATTTATTTTTCTCCATTTCGACCATTCTGACGAAAAGTAACTTTTTTTGAGGGGGGAGAGGGGCCTTAATTTCTGTCACTCCATAGACCATGATTGAGGGTGTGGGTGTGAGTGAAGAAAAAACAACCACACCCATACCCCACACCCACACCTACACCTATACCCCACACCCACACCTACACCCATACCCCACACCCACACCCACACACCCACACCCCATCCACACCCTTAAATAAAGACAGCTTCTACCGTTTAGGAGTATTACTTTATCTTTACTTTATAAATAAAGATAAAGATGAGGAAACAAAGTTTTTTTTTTTTTATCAAATAAAGATAAAGTAAATCTTTACATTTATAAAATAAAGATAAAGACAATCTTGATTTGTAAAAATAAAGTTAAAATAAAGAATAAAGATATATTTTTTCATGTAATAGGTGCATATATAAATACTCTGTATGAGAATAGAATATGTTAACTAGTGTCCTTTCTCACCACCATCATTACTTTCATATGTCACAACGTCAAAAAATGAGAACTATTCATGAAACGATATATGAGCGAAATGTTATTGTATATTATATTTAACTAAAATAATATGATCGTTTTATGTGAGGTAAATGAACAAAATAAAAAAAAATTTTTGATAGGAAAAAATTCTTTGTCTTTATCCTTTATTATAAAGAAAATAAAAATAAAGTAACATCACTACTACTATTATTTACCTGTTCTAACTAATTCTTCCAAGCAATATGAAGCAAAGTAGCAGTCAACATCATTCATCATTTATTGTATTAAAGTGAACATAAAATAAAACATGACAATATGGAATGACGTTATTCTTTCACAGTTGTTAAGGAATACTCAATAAATAAATGAAGGACAACAAAATATGAATGTTTTTTGAATAAGGCGTAGTAAGTTGATTTTATCTTTGTTAACAGCAAAAAAGATATGAAATCAAACTGTAATACTCTGAACTACTATACTGAATTGATCATGTTGAACCGACTAATATTCAACAATAACAATCATCTTCTTAGCCAGCAATAAATCTCTTCGAAACGCTGATTTCTTTAACGTGCCCTAACATTTTTTTTTCTAAAAATTTTACTTATAAAGTATTAGTGAGCTAGAAAAAAATCATTTAAATAAATTCTTTAAGAAAGACAGCTTAAAAAGGGGCTTCATCTGAACATGATTTTTCCCTTATTTTTATTCATTCAATGCTTTTATGTATGCTCATAGTTGACAACAACACAATGTTCACCATTCAAATTGAAAATGTTATTATGAAGCAGTCATCAAATGAATCTATCATGCTTCTCAAGTTTGACTAGTTAATATCATTTTGACTATAGAGCAAAGCAATTAACTCTAGCCTTTGCGACAGAGTTTACCAATCTGTTCATTCTGTGTATATCACGTAGCATCCATCGTCTGCGTCATTTTCCTATTCACTTGTTCATATTGAACACTGTTTGAAGATAAGAAAATGTTAGGAATGACGTCTGTATTTCCTTTTCTCTTTCTTTGTGCAAATAGAGAATAAGTGATGAAGCTTGCTTTATGTTATTCTTTCCTGTTTCAGTGAGTTAGTTTGAAAATGTGGATGATTCTGGTAACTGCTTTTACTTTAGCTTCTACTATTTCACATGGTCGAGTTCTGCTTTATCATACTGAAAACAATGATGCAATTCAAAAAATTGATTGTGTGTATGAGATTAATGAATATGGAATGGATATTTCATATTGTAGGCGTCCTTATTCGATTGAAGGACTTTATCGAAAGAGTAACTATTGTGAAAACCAGGGTGGAAAAAAACTATTCCAAGATCTACTTAATCAAGGTATTCAACCTAGCGAGATTCTAAAATGGAGTTCAAGCATTGAAATGGCTGATATGTATGCTAGTATTTTCTACAATCAGTCACGAATTGAATATGATCAAGATAATAATGATGATTGGTTCCTGTGTAACTGCACAAAACCAGGAACATTTGGAAAATATTGTGAATATGAATTAACACATCATGCTACATCATTTCATGAAGCCATGGAAGCTCAATTTAAAGATAAGAAAGAAGGTGACTCATGGAATACTCAACGATATGGAAAAATTCTCTGTTATGAAACAATTGGTAATCCAAATAGTGATATGTGTTTCGATTGGCGAGATATTTGCGATGGTCATCAACAGGCTTCCTTTGGTATGGATGAACAAAATTGGGATATGTTGGAATTTAATGAATGTGAAGACGATGAATTTCGATGTGTCAATGGTATGTGCATTGCAGAAGAATTCTGGCTTGATGGTAAGTATCTTAAATTGACAGAGTTTTTCATGAAATTTTTGGTCTCCGTAGGTGATCAAGATTGTATGGACTGGAGTGACGAAGTACTGCGTGCGAGTGACATGTGCTTCTACACTCCGGATGCAATCGATTGTGACGAGCATGTGTGTCTACGTCAAGAATATTCTTGTGGTGATGGACAGTGTATTTCATGGAATGATCGAATACCATTTCAACGGTCGTTACCAAGATCAACCGATTGTTTTAACAAACGAAATCTGAATTATATGTGTGAATTGAGTTTACGTCAACGTACTTGGACACTCGCTAATGGTTTGTGTTGGCCAGACGAAAACTATGATGATCCTCTATATTCTCCATGGCATATCATCAATTCAACAAGCAAAGTTTCAAATCAAGAATGCAATTATCTATTTCGATGTTTTTTTACGGACAATTTCGAACGAGACTGCCCATGTAAAGACTATGATTGTATAGAAATAATGAAACGTGTATGTCCAATGAAATCTCACGTTAATTATCCAGCACCAGGATTGATTAATAACAATACATTCATCTTATACGACTTGTCAACATTATCTAAAAAAGATCCGAATGATTACATCTTCGTACTTTATGGTGAAGTTTTATGCAGAGGATATGAATTCGTATCTGATTCTCAACAAATGACGATAAGTTTATTGCCTTACATGATTACATTTCGTGGCGCGAACGAAATACTTTGCGGAATTGACAAAGATCGAAGTTACTTTTCATCTTTTCAACATGACAAGTTCTGTTGGAATGAATCTTTAACATTTAATGGTCGCCCGTATGCTGTTGCTCTTGAAGTTTGTCGCATTGGAGGATCTTGTATCTCACAGTATAGAATTCGGGATGGAGTTCAAGACTGCGCCGATTTTCAAGATGAAACCGAAGTCTTCGAGAAAGATTATTGCACAGAAAATGTCGGCCGGCATCGCTTTCGATGTTTTAATGACGAACACAAATGTCTTCAATTGAACGGGATTGACAGTGGGTACAGTCATTGTTCGAATAACTTTGATGAACTGTGGTATGGTACTGTTAAGATTAGTAGAAAAATTGGACTCTGTGAAAAACATGATATTACAAAATGTAAAGCTTGGAGAGAATATATCAAAATGTCATCTACGAATATTACAGTTAATAATCATTCGCTTGACCATTCTGAATCATCGACATCGCTTACTAATATAGAATTTCGACGATATTGTGATAGCTTTTGGGATATGAATGCACGAGCTGACGAATTACCTTCTTATTGTCGCTATTGGGTATGTCTAAAGCATGAGTATCAATGTCAAACTGGTCAATGTATACCAGTTGAATGGGTATGTGATGGAGTATGGGATTGTAGCGATGCTTCAGATGAAGAAGCTATTGTGCTCATTAAAAAATGGTCTTCTCATAATACTAATCTCTATAATTTGGAAAATCGAACCGAAGAATGTCGAAAAAGATATTCGCAATTACCATTTTCTAAAATTTGCAATGTTTCTTTTGAATTTGGTTGTTATCTATCTCGAGTATCAAATCCATTAGATATAGTCACCAATCATCCATGCATTAATCTTACTCAAATTGGAGACGGTGTAGAAGATTGTTACAATGCCTATGATGAAAAAAATACAGCTGAAATTAGTTCAGCGATGTTAGGCTTTGTTCTTCGTTGTGAGAACAAATTCATACTTCATCGATATGCTTGTCTGGAGGGATTCATTCATAATTGTACTCACGTTCTCTGCTCCAGACATCGAGATCAAAACAGAACATGTTCTGATAATTCTGATTTCATTTGTCTTGGAAATAACAAGTGCATGAAAAATATAAGGTGTGATGGCAAACCAGATTGTCCACATGGAGAAGATGAATATTGGTGTGATTTTAGCATGGGTCTGAGTCAAGTCAGTTATCGTTCGGACAAATTGATATCGAAGAACGTTTATGAGTATAATTTTAATGTTGCATCATTTCCATTTGAAGATGAAAGTCAGTCTATTTCCAACAAAGAAAAAGTTTCACACATCGAATATCGAAAGAATCATTCTTTCATGGTTCATTCTTATCAATGTAATCGAGGCGTAGCTATTCTTCATATAAATAAAACTATATGTTTGTGTCCACCTGCGTATTATGGAAATTGGTGCGAATTTTTCAGTGATCGAATCACCGTTATTGCTCGTCTTGATCAAGAAACATTACCGAAAACAATCGTAGACTACACCTTCAAAGTTCAATGCAATTTTCTTTTCCACAATACAATTATCGATTCTTATGAATTTATTATTGTTCGACAAAATTCAAAAATCAAATACATAAAGCATAAATTTTATCTTCTATATTCACGTTCCAACAATATGCTTGAACATAAACGAGCACGTTATTTCAATCGTAGTGATGTAATTAATAACCATCCATATTCAGTTCATTTTGATATATTCTTATCAGAACAAAATAAAACTATGAAAGAAATTGGTTCATGGCAATATCCAATTTACTTTGATTATTTACCTGCATTTCGTTTGGCTGTTGTCTTGAAATTTTCATCGTGGTTTGGTAATGCTACACTTGATCCTTGCTTGAAAAATAATTGCACTGAAAATTCTATTTGCATGCCAATTTTAAATCTCAATCATTCCTATTATTGTTCATGCAAGAATGGTTATTACGGAAGAGAATGTAGCAAATATGAACCTCTTTGTAATAAGTACTGTTCGAAAAACTCTATTTGTCGACCTGATCATAATGCTATTCTGATTAATCAAAGAAAACCGTATTGTATATGTCCACTAAATTATTTTGGGCCACAATGTATTTTAAAAAATGATGCATGCTATTCAGATCCTTGTTTCAACAATGGAACTTGCTTGGTTCGAGAACATCCAAATGGAGAAACATCATACATTTGTAACTGTTCTACGAGATTCTATGGTGATCAATGTACGAAAGAAAAAGCATCCGTGCATATAGATCTCAATATGAAAAATGATTCATTTGTTCGTGCAACTGTTATTCAACTGTACAATCTGCATAAAAGTGCACTTCATATCCAATATCAACAAGTACACTATGGTTTGCCATCAAGATTTGACTATGCTCATGAAGGTTCTTATGCGCCACTTATTGGTATTGTGAAAACTTATACGAATGAAACAAAGCCACAGTATTTTATTATGTATACGAAACAGGAACAGAGAATCAATATAACATCATCTCCTCACCAATGTTCACATGCTTTATCAATTCTATATGAAGGCAAACATTCAATTTTTTGTATATACTAATCATATTATTCATCTGTTTCTCTTTTAGATAGTAGTTCATCTGTACCAGCTGTTTTTAAATATCATCAAATTTGTCAAAATAATACTAAACTGTATTGTTTTCATGATGAAATTTATGTCTGCTTTTGTTCAGTAGACCATTATGAAGCTGGTTGTTTTCTTCATAAACCTCAAATTGATCATTGTAGCAAATGTTTATCTTCAGGTCAGTGTCTTCATGGTGATCTAAACAATACAAAGGATTTCATTTGTCTTTGTCCAAATTGTTATCAAGGACCTCTTTGTGAACTCAATTTACAAGCATTTGGTTTCACTCTCGATTCACTCCTTATCGAATTTTCCAAGAAAATAAAAATTATCTATACTTCTATAGCTTTGTTACTTTTCATTGTGGGTCTCTTCAATAATATATGTTCATTCATTACATTCAAACGATCTGCACCTCGAAAAGCTGCAGCTGGTAACTATTTATTGATTGCTTCTGGTCTCAATCAGGCTGCTCTACTTTGCTTACTTCTCAAACTCATACAAATCACATTTGAAATTCCTAATGAACATTTATGCAAGGCAATATCCTATCTTCTTTCTGTATTAACAAGATCCACCTTCTATCTAACAAGTTGGACTACCGTTCATGGCGTTCTCATGACTATCTCTCCAAATGGAAATGCTTCGAAAAATCCTCGTATAGCTATTGGAGTGAGCACAGTTACATTGGTGACTATATTTGCTATGCATATACATGAAATTATCTATTCAACTGTTATTCAACATGTTTCAACTGATTCATTTATGTGTGTCATCGAAATTCGCATTCAATCGATTTTGACTTATAATCGTATTACAACTTTAATGCATTATCTCTTACCATTCTCTATTCAAATTATTTGTATTACTACCCTTATTGTTAGGGCTGCTCGAAGTCGACTTAAAGCAACTAGAGAAAGAAACACATTTTATCAAGTATTGAAAAAACAATTTCAAACACAAAAAGACCTTTATATCGTACCAATAACAGTTATATTGTCTTCTCTATCACAAATCATTATCACATTTAGTTTAGCATGTAAACATCTGGAAGATTGGCAGCGTCATGCATTACTTAGTGCCTATTTACTTTCTTATGCACCACAAATTTTTGGTTTCATTCTCTATGTCTTACCATCAACTCTTTACAAAAAGGAACTCAATCAGACATTAATTGGTAAGCACATGTTACGATGGGTACTGCAGAAGAAGCAATAG